ATCTGTGGAGCTGGAAGCTGAGAACTGGCGACTTTGTAGTACAACTTTAGTGACAACTTTAGTGCGCGGAGCAAGCGGTGGAACTGGAAGCTGAGAACTGACGACTTTGTAGTACAACTGGAGCGCGCGGATGAGTCATCTCTCGCGCTTCATTTGTGGAGGAAGTCTCGTACGAAACACCGCAGATCTCCCTCTCAACCCCCCACACTCCCACACATCGGCGTAGCTCGATCACACCTGCGCATCCACATAGTCACTCCTTCACATCCGCCCTCTCCTTCTTTCTTTATACACGGGTCTTTCATAGGTATCGCGCGTTCGCCTGTTGCAGTCATGGCTCTGGCTACTGATGCTCTCGAGTGGAGAACGCAGCGAGAGCAGGATATCAGAGATGCTTATGCTGATAAGAACCGGTGGACTGCTTTGGATTATGTCACAGACCAACACGACTACAGCTTTAGGTCCATAGAAGCGTGGCCTTTGGATGCTGCTGTCATTTACAATCCTACGGATCGAGCAGCGCTGTTGCTTGGAAGTTTGAAAGCCGCGTGTAGCTTGGAAGACATTGTGGAGACCACGTCTTTGAAGGTCACTGTGGTGGTCACCATGTGCGCGCAGGAGATGCAGATCACAGCACCGACCGACTGGACGAAATACTTTGAAGAACAAGATGTCTTTCACATCCAGTGTCACTTGGAGGACACGACATTGAAGCCGACAAGGCGTTGGCTTGAGCAGATTCCGGACTTGGTGGCTTCCTGTTTGCGACAGTGGAAAATCGTCTGCCGTGCAGTTGCTACTTCAGAAAAGACCAGCGTTGCGTCCTTGGCGCAATCGACCCTATGTCTTGGAAGCGTGGAAGGTTTGCGCGCAGAGAGACTTGAGCGCAGCGCACCGAGACTAGTTTGTGTCGCGGGTCGTCCGTCGAGACTGTTCGGGACGAAACTGCGACATCATCGCTTAGACGACGGGATCCGCAACTGCCGGAAAAAGGGACGTGACGTTGATATGTGTCTACTTCACCTGCACGACAATCGATGCACTGTTGGAACGCAGGAGTCACATGTCCTGATCCTAATGTCGTGTGCTCTCAGGTCGCACTGTTGATGCTTTGAAGGGCCTATGCGCGAGAGTGGAGATGATGGCTGGAAGCACACTTACTGCGTGCTTTCTCTGTGTCTGATACTTGAAGTCAAACTGATTTGCTTTGAGCCTCTGCTCGCAGGACCTCTACTCGCCGCTTTTTTTTGGGGCCAGGATGAAGCGCACACAACTCCAGTTTGTGTGCGCTTCGACCTGCTGACGGTTGACTTCGTTTTTGTCTTGAAATGAGACTGACTTGTCTTCAGCCGTTTGAAGAGCGACTGACTTCTGACGAACCTAAGATATATCTTTTCTCTCGCCTCTGTCCATTTACGTCTTCGCACGCTCGCATCCATACATCTACCTCTCCACCTCCATACATCTACACATCTATATGACACCTGCGCATCCACACTGTCACTCCTTCACGTCCATCCTTTTTTTCTTTCTTTATCGATGTCCTTTCCACAGTACTGGACAATCACATGTCTCGCTCTCGGGCCACCCGTCGTCTAGTGTGAGGCTCCCGAGATCGCATACACGGAAAGGGCCACAGCTCTAGTAGTTGGTGTGACTTGGATCCAGGGGGCATGTAGTACAGAACAGCTTGTACAATACAAACCAAACGGTTGCAAAATTGGAATCACTAGCGATGATGGCTGTGCCCCCATGGGGGCCAGGGGGTCATGGAATTGCCGGCTTTATTCCATTGGACCAAGTGTGGATCACTTGTAAGCATGCAAAGTCCATGACTTTTTGCAATACGTGTTTCTTGGAGACAGCGCGCATCAGCGTTCCAGGATTTCCACATGTGATTAGTGCGAAATGAACCCATGTTTGCAGAAACGAATGACATGTTTTCACTAGGCGGGCCCTCTCCGGCATATCCCAACGTGCTATCAAATGCATACCATAATGCAACATGGCCAAGGTTCGGACAAAGAACAGTTTTTTCCACAGCAAAACTGAGAACTGGAAGCGTCGAAGCGTTGAATTGAGGTGGCTGGACACCCTGACCAGCCTGACAACTACAAAAGCACAGGTTGTTTTTCGGAATCGAAGAAAGCCACAGAAAAACAAAACAGAAAGTCAAGGATTTAAGTCCAAGTGCCACGAGTAATCAACCGGACAAGAGGATGCACAGGAGCACGTGTCGTCTCCCACAGGCATGCCCAGGAAGGGAACTTCGGACGGCGAGATTGAAGTCATGGTTGAGGGACCATCCTTTTGGAATGACCGCGGTGGCGCACTCACCGTGTTTTTTCGTCATTTTATTTGGAAGAAGGTGCACTAAATCCAGAAGTGTAACAAGTTGAGAAGGGGTCAAACACGACCATGATTTCACACGTTTTGGCCCAAAAAAAACATTGCGCGACCTGCTGATTGCAGAATCAAATGACATTGAGCGTCAAGCAGCTGAGTCGAGTTTCAGCGTTGAGAGGTTTTTGCCCAGATGCCCACTGAACGCAGTCCTGCGATGTAGCGTTCAATCTGGGTTTTTCCCCGAGGTTCTTCTCAGATGTTCGGGGGCAATGCAGCTGGGCAGAAGCCACCATGCCAAGCAGGGCGAGAAGCTGGTGCAAACTATTTGATGTGTGAGCCCTGCCAAGTGGGACTGTATGCCGAAGCTGAAAGTCATTGCCAAGAATGTCCGCCAGGCAGGGATATATATATATATATATTATATGCTCTGAAAGTCAAAGAACCGGGGCTTATAAGACAGAACGTGTGTTGAATTTAGTCAACATTCGAAGCATCGTTACCTTGGGCGGACATCTTCACAGGATGTGTCTGCAGAATGCTTCGGCGTCAGGCGCAGTCCCATCTGAAGACCGTGGCACGTGTGAGCAGTGTCCTCCCATGCACTATTCTGTGGGCGGCCTTGACACATGCTTTGCTTGCGACCTGCCATTGCTTTTGGTGGACAACCACTGTGTTTCTTGGCAGTCGAGAAGGCATTCAGCGAGGCGTTTGCCAGCATTTGCAGTATATAGATGTTTTTTTCACCAGGATGGTTTCAAAGAATGGCTGTTGCTGGGAATGGATTTATAGGCACTTCGAGCATAGTTTTACGCTTCCGGTGGCTCCTACTTCATTGCTGAGGTGTGGTGGCATTTGCCGCTGGTGACACTGGGTTTGGGAGGCCTCGCGGTTGGTTCCAAGCTGCTGCGTTTGTACCGCCGTTCCCGACGAGCCAAGAAAGCAGAACGAATCTTGGAAGAACTCTACAACCAGCTTTGGGATGCTTGGATCGAGTGATATGGGTGAGACTCATTGCTCGAAGTCAAAGTGGTTTCCAGATGACGTGTGTAGTTTTATCAGGTAGCTGAAAACTCTATCAAAAGGATTTTTACTTCTCAATGCCTGGGTGGCTGACGGGCATTTTGTTTGCTGCCACTGCTGATATTTGTTTTAGTTGTCTCCTTCCATGTCTCGCCACTTGTCTCCCCCCCACTTGTCTGCCTGCGTGATCGGCGTGTTGTCTGCCGCTGCCGCCTCGTCTCCATCTTTGTTGTCCGAGTGACGAAGAACAGATGATGAGATCTGTGGAGTCACGCGGAGAGCTGTTGTTGGACCCACGTGACTGGTCACTGGAAGCTCTCATGGATTTTTTGTGGTTGAATTACCTTATCTTTTTGTCTTAGGTGCTTCTGTTGTTAAAATTGGGCGCTATTTGGAGTCTGAGCCGGTATCATATTGAGGCTTTCAACCCGGGGGTGAAGTTTGAATGAACTAGTAACTAGTTGCCGGAATTTCGAACGCCCCAAAACCCGTTGTTGGACTTCGTTTCCCTTGCCTGCAAAAGTCTATCATCTACTGGTTACATGGCCTCAAACAAGTCCTCGACAAGTGACGATCTCAGGATGAGCAGTCCAACACAATCGCTACATACTCTGGAGAGTTGTGTCGTCTGGGGCTTGAACAAGCAAAGATTGAACACCACATTTCTGCTATGCGGGCGCAGCAGAGTCAGAGAGCTGGTGTTCCATGGTAGCAACCAGCGGATCTTAAAGACGCAGATCTCCACTCTAGCAATCATTCTACACAGACAGAGAACGTTCGGTGCCTTTTTCTATCGGTTTTCCTTGTTTTTTACACAAATACATGCTGTTTCCAAGTGTCAACTGTGTTTGGCGTGCAGGTGAGCATCCGGTATCTCCTTTCAGCCGAATTTGCCGAACTGGCCATGCACCGCACTGGCAAGGATGACCCGACCTTCATCGATGCCTGGCTTTGAAGGTTCAAAATCCACGGACAACAAATTGCCCCTGCCAAACTCTGACTGAGCAACCTGTTGATCCTTTTTTTTGCGGTGTTCAGATTCTCATGGAGTTGTGTTCTGGGGTCCTTGCTTCCAATAGATCAAACCCCAATTTTCAATCCGAATCCAATCCCACCTTTGGGGATTGTGGGATTTATGTCTCGAGAATGTCGCGTGATGTCGCAAAACCAAAAAACAAATCACGCAGGACGCCCGCGCCCAGGACATGAAGACGGCCTTTTGGCTGTCTGACGATCCCATCGGCCGAGACGTCATTTGTCCTCGAGATGGCCGAGCCGGTTGTGCTTTGGTTGACTGGATTCCACGCAATGAACGCCGAGAACAGTCTCATTTCATGTCGTGGACCTGGAAATACAGCCTACGACAGGCATTTACCGTGCAATTCAGGGCATTGCCTTTACCTTTTAAGATCTTTTGAGCGTTGCGGTTTCCAGTTTCGCTTGCTTTGGGCATGTTCCAATTTCACCTCTGCTGGTAAAATGAGACAGAAGTGGGGATTTAAGAGGCTGAGGATTTTTCCAGGTCTTTTTTTTGTTGTGGTTTGTTTTACCTCGGCCCGCTCAAACCTCTATTGTAATTTCTTCTTGCTGGAAACTTCATTCATGGTTCCATGATTCCCAAGATTTTCCAAAGATCAGCTTCAGGTTCGCAGGTTCACAGCAGTGGCACTCCCAAAGATCTCCCATGATTCCCATGATTTGGATAAAATTTGCCGCAGGTTCGCAGTGCATTGGAGATGCTTCAGCACAGCCGTGGCACTGGCACAGACCCCACTGGCACTGGCGTCTCTTTTTTCATGTGCTTCTTTGTCAACAACCAGTACAGGCGCTTAGGAAGTTTTTCCATGGAGATTCTCCTCTCAAACAGAAAAGAGAAAACCATGCAACAAGACAGTGAATATGAACATCACACAAAACGCAAGGATTGCAGGTAATTAGTGTATGTAAGCAGAGGCGCCATGCATTCATATTATATAAATCAAATTCTCAATAACATGACTTACAATGGACGTGACTGTGTTTATTCCGTCTCCAGGCTCATTGTGGAAGAGTGTGCAAACGGCAGTGATAATTTGGAAGATGTCTTCGAGGGACACCTGAAGCGGATAGGCCGCATGGTTGCCATTTTGGATACATGGGATCAACCTGTCTATCTCAGTCGTGTGTGGACGGTGTACGAGCAGTATGTGGCGTCCACCATTGGGGTTCAGGTGCGAAGCAGGGGTGCTCGTGTTGATCCTGACGCAGTGGCTTGAGGAAACATGCAGTGGAAATAGTATAATTACATGTACTCGAAACATGTAGCCACCTCCCATTTTGCTAATCAAGTACAGTATCAGGAAAGGTATGATTACACATGACAACAATATAATACAGTACATGAATGGTATAGGGTAAACAAACTCCTATCTATTTTTGCTTTAAATGCATGTGTCATGTGCCCACCATTTGCAGATGGTGTCTCATGGGCATCTCAACTCTGTGATCAGACTCGGCCACTTGCAACCAAATGTTGATCTCCTTAGGTGCAGTTCGTGTTGCCCAAGAACGTGGCAGATCGTTTGCGTCATCAGATCGCATATGTTCCTGCAGGCATCGAAGACATCATCGAATCTCTTTGCCAGGTGGATTCTGAACAAGCCAAAGCGTGGAAGTTGGAGGATGAGATCAAGGTGAAACTGGCAAACATTGAGGCATTCTTTTGGAGTTATATTCTCATAGAGACACAATAACACATACACAATACTCTGCCAATCTATTTTTTTGTACATATAGTATAAACATGTTTGTTTTCTGATTTGTTTTCAGATGTTTCTTGGTCCTTCCAGATTGTTTAAGACCTCCGCACGAAGCTCAGGAAGTCTTTGATCCAGGAGAGAACCGAGTCAGGGGATTGAAGGCATCAAGGTGGTTTCATTCGTGCAAGTCAGGTGGTTTATGACCCAGAGCCACCTGGGGCCACATATAGGTTGTTTTGTTCAAGTACTGGATCCAGGCATTTTACTCTTCAACTTGTTTTTCTATCCAGCTTTCCTGCTTCTGTCCCAAAACGCCGAACGGTTGTATTCAATGGCATATCTGTTGGTTGTATCCTCAGATCTCAGTGGTACATCTGTGGATATGGATGAACTATTCTGGCTTTTCTGCCGGTTGTCCTGCTTGGATTGAAAAGCTTTACTTCTCCCGTTGGCTTGGAATTGTGGATAGTCTTTGCCACAAGTATTAATACAAAAAGAAGTGTGATTTTTCTTTAAGGCGTCCACTATTATTGTTGAGCAGTGGCAGCTGTGGCTTGCAGGATACGGTTGGCTTCAAGCATGTTGATATGCATGTGACCGATGTCATGATCACGTGGATTGGAGATGTCATTGAACAGACGTGCACACAGTGGCTAGTCTGGCGAAGATGAAAGCTTTGTGATGGAAAGTCGAAACTGCACGCTTTTAAACACCTACTAGGACCCACTGTCGGGGTGGGTAATGGACACCCCTTAACCTCTAAGGGGCTATCAATAGTCACCCCTTAGGGTGTCCTGGTAGTCTGCTGTTTCATTGTGGATTTACCATCCCAGGTTGCTCATGACAGCTCGTGCCAAGAAGGCCGCCCGAAGCTCCACACATGGTGAACTGGCGCCGTGCCCTGGTGATGTGGTGCGGCCGTACCCTGGCTGCCTTGGTGAACTCTACCGTCCTAGAATCCTTGAGAAATACGGAAAAACCGAGAGTGGATGCTGGCTGGGGTGAATTTGAGTGCAGGTTTAGAGGTATCAGACATCCCTGTCAACATGCATCAGCATGGATGCAATTCTTTTTTGCCGCATCAGGACCACGTCCTAGCTACTGGATGCCTTGGGTTCGTCCAAACTTGGCCTACTGTTGGCACGTGTTTTTTCCGCACCCATTGGCTATTGGCTTTGTGCTGTCGGTCATGGCCACAACATCCCACTTGACGATGAGCATGTGCTGCTTTTCCATTGCTGTCCAAGAGTAGAACTGTGTAGGCAGGGATTCAAAACACTCATGATTACAACCATGAAATCAGGGCCTCGAAAAGCAACTTTTATCATTTTCCCTTAGAGCTTTGACATTAGCCAGAAAGACCTGTCAAAAGGTCAACAACTCAGGATTTGGAGTAGAGTTCTGAGCAATTTCACAAGGTTATCGTCAAACCATTTTGCTGCCAGGTGGGGGCCAGGCGTTTGCAATTGTTCCACTACGTTCCAGTACATGACAAAATTTAAAATTGCCGCCACATTGCTGCGGAAGCGCTGCCAGACGTGCAGCGGAACCGGGAGGGATGAAGAATGAAGCTTCACGGTATCTGCAGTGCAAGCGGTTGCATTCGATAGCGCGAGCCAATGTGGAAGACTGAGAAGCGACCCAAGTGCCTAACGAGGGTAGATGGGGGCGGGGTGTAGATCCAGAAACTTTGATGACGAAGCTCAATCCTCAGTCTCAATTCTTTGCTTTTTCCTGAAGCAGACCACAAGACCTCGTGCTACCACCGGGACTTTGATCGATTTTTGTCCTGATCGTGCAGTACAATTCGTGCTCCTGAGAGTTCCCTTTGTGATTCGAAGTAGTCACAATGCTTAGGACGGATGGGGGAATCCTTCAACAACACCACGAGTTCAGGGATTTGCAAAGGCCGTGGTTCAACGATATGATATGGTTCAATAGGTTTCGTAGTTGAAGGCTTCAAGTACAAGATCTTGTCCCACCTTGCCAACGGAACCCCATCCCCGTCCACATCCTTTGATGTGTGTGATTTCCTCACCATCTGCCTTTTGACCCAAGCTGATGAAGGCAAGGCGTTCCAAATGTTCCAGTGGGAGCTGCCAAACAAAGCAGCGAGAACAGGTCCCTAGAGGAGTGCTGCAAGACATGCAGTGGAACCAGTAGTGATGAAGCCTCACAGTGTTTGCAGTGCTTGGTGCTAGCCACTGTGGAAGAACGAGAAGTGATCCAAGTGCCTGAACTTACCAGGGTAAATTGGGGGTAGAAAGCTCCGAGGCGAAAAGTTGGTACAAAAAGCCTCAGAGCTTTGTCCGTGCCAAGCTGCTACACCGGGTGTCTTCAAGCTGTGCTAGCCACGCTGCCACACCGGGAATCCGATGGACTTGTGTTTCATGTTTGCCAATGTATATAGCTCTTCCGACTTGGGATGGACCGTGTGGAGATGTGTGGCAAAAAGGGATTTGAACGTGGAATTGCAAGCATCACCGGTGTGTAGACCCTGCACAGGGTGGTGTTTTTTGATCCGGGTCACGCTCCCAGGATGCCGCGAACGCGAACGTAGGTGGCTGCAATGCACGATGTGGTGGGTCGCATTCTGCTGTGCCAAGTACTTCAACCAATCCATTGGAACTGGGAAAACAGCAGCTGTGAGGGACTGTGAGGGACAGATGTTCGGAGATGCCGATGAACCTCAATCCGAGCCAATCCGAGCGAACGTAACTTGGAGCATGGACGTAACCGAAGGGCAGTACCTTGTATGCGATGACTTGTACAGTATACATGTACACAACAGCCAAGGCAAAGGGCTAAAAATGCTAAAATTCAGTCCTCTTTGAAGCTTGGTCTTCGTGCGAGATTCTACCAGTCGTGGAGAGACACCGGTCGACCTGCCTGGCGCAAGAACTCGCCCAATACCGAATGCGACCTGTCGCACATCATGTGTAAATTGGCTGTTTTGTTGAACAATCAAGAACATTCTATGTTTTTGATATGTTTGTTGGAAAGTTGTTGCGTCATGTTTATTGGAGGTGGAGCCTCTTTTTTGCACACCTCAGGGTACTTGACGCTCGTAGAGGATTGCGAGGAGGAAGAACTCATGGAAGTGATTGACAGGTGGTTCAAGGCAGGCACTTGATGAAGACAGCAGCTCCTGCAGCTTGAGAACTTCCAGCGACTCGTCAGGCAAGAAGAAAGAATAAAGACAATAAGTCAAGCAAAAGGAGAACTCTTTTTAGCTGTAGATCATGTTACCTCACGCCGTTTGTTATGCTTGTTTGACAAAGAAGGAAGCAAAGGAAGTGAAACGTAAGGCTAAGAAGGAAGCACACCGATAGAGCAAGACATACGAAAACACTGAGGTTAAGTCTGACAAGGATGACAACAACAAAATAACATCAAACAAGCGAGGGAGGCAAGGTTTGGGGGATGTCTACCACGGAAGCAACGATACAAGAGCTGAAACGGGCAAACCATTTGGTTTCCAACCTGGCATGCGCTGTTGGCCCAGATCAAGATGTGGCTTGGTGACCAGCCTTTGTCATTCCGAACTCCGTGACCAAGATTGAAATTCGCTGCCTTTGCTGGCACTTGGGTCCTTGACGCAGCTTGGCACGACGCAGCTCGAGCCAAACCGAAGCTGGGGCGAAGCTCGGGGTCCTTTGACCAGACAAGTCCAGCTTGTCGCCGCAAGTCGAGACCAACCCTTTTTTTGGTGGCCGAAAGACCGTGATGCGAAGATTGTCGACCGGGTTTTAAAGACAATTGACCTGGTTCTTGCGAGGGGAAATGGGGCTAGCAGCAATGCTTCTTGCTTCCACCGGGAAGCCAGACGAGAAAAACTGGGGAAGTTGACTTCGCACCAGGAGAGTAAGCAACTGTTACGCGAGGTCCAATGATCTATTGCTTCGAAACTGTGTGGATGTCGCGGAAGAAGAGTCTTTTCAGGTCGACAAAACCCTTTTCAGACCGGTCGACGCCCTTGCGTTCAGACCGGTAGACCCGCTCGCCACTCGCAGAGTGGTCGACGTGTCATGTTTTTGCACTGTTTCATGGTGTGCCATCATAGCCAAAGGACGTTTTGAATGGGCTAAACCTCAGAGGGTGTCTTGAAATTCTCACCTGTCTCGGAATCGAAGACTCCGGACGACTTGGATTTAGTCGAGACGATCTGCCTGTGGCACATGCAACACGAGACGATCGCGAGACGATCGCTGTTTTTGGGCCCGCTTTCTTGAAGGGGAACTGCAGGCATGTGCTTGATGTCGTTGAATGGGTGTTTTTTTCTGCTCGCTTGGAGTGAACTGAGTAAGATGTTGGAGGCTCAAGCGGACTCGCTGTTTTTTTAAATCCCAAATCTTCAAAGCCCAACGCTTTCCTGTGACAACATATCAACATGGCAAATGCGAAAGATCCAGGCATTCTTTTAGATGAATGATGATGTGTGACAAATTTTGCACTGGAAAGGCATGCCAAGCTTCTCAGTCCACTTGCATTGGTGCAAGAAGATCAACTGAACCAAATGCCACCCCTTTGATTGGCCGCGATGGAGCAGGAGTGACTGAAGTGACACTCAGCAGTGGTACCTGCTCGAGGCCTCAATCAACCAAGACACAGTTTTGCATCGGTTTCTCAGCCGGAGATCGGACGGTTGTTAAAAAGGAAGTGGACCCCCCGCCCGGTCATGGTGAGAACGTTCGATCGGCGGCAGTTCGATTCTGGTTTGTTCATGGGGCAAATTGGGAAGCACAGTTCTGGGGTTAGAACATGGGCAACTGGTTGAAAGCATGTCAGGAATGTTAGGGGTCTTAGTTTGCTTGGCTTCTTGCTTTTTCAAGAGACTCCTTGATACTACGTGGGGCTATCTCAACTTAGACATCGTTTTTAGTGACATCGAGCCACACAGATTCGCCCCCAAAAGTATTCAGACCCCCTTCACTAGGTTCTGAAACGGGACGTTCGTGGCAACAAAAACACATTCGGCTCTTCCCGAAAGAGATACCAGCGAAGAACCCATCAGTGCGTTGATGGCGCGCTCAGCGACCAAGGGAAGAACCCATTGGTCTCGTCTTTCCACGGCACCTCACCAGTAAGAGAGGTATTGACGACATCATTTGTCCTGGCTTTAAAGCTTTCTCCGATGTCATAGAAACACATGCATTCTTCCAACCATCACGGTGGGTTTTCGCTGCTTCTTTTTTGTTGGCAGCCGGATCTCTGCGCATCCCAACCAAAAGCGGACGACACAAAAAACACCACATCTCAATTGAACAGCAGCTGGAAAAGCTCGGACTTGACGAGCAACACTCCAGTGAATCAAAAGTTCATCGGGAGCTCTTCCATCTTTGTTCTCGACATGTTTGGATCCAAAAGGGGTTGGATGTTCAGGGGTCGACCAGCAGAATTGGTTCGAAGACGTTTCAGCGGCCGGCGGACTCCTTGAGCTGTTTCGGAAGGATTTTGGACTTCCCACAAGCTTCTCCTTTTCAACTTCAGTTCATGTCAATTTCTTTCTGGTACCTTTTTTGAAAATCCCACTCCTACAGGAGCACGAGACCGACCCTCCAAAACAAAATGAGTGCCACCAAAAAAACCTAAAAGACGACCCACACACACAAACAAAAATGACAAGCATCAACCACCCCACCCACCACTGCCCGCACCTGCCCGCCCCGAAAGTGGGGAAACACACACCGAGTCTCGGCAACCGGGTCCGATCCGCCGCCCCGTGCGCCGCCGCGCTCGCGTTGTGCGGCAGGAGTCTCCTGCGGTGGTGCGGAGCGTCTCCTCCTCCGAGGGTCGACAACGGCGCACTCCCTCAAGCCGACAGGCGGCGGCGCTGGCGTGGCTTCCGCGGAACGCGTAGTGGTAGGTGACGGCTGGTAGGTCGTGTGGTGGACAAAGCATGGAAAGGAGTTTGGAGGGGCAATTGGAGGAGGTTCTTTTTTTTGTGGTGGTGGTAGTGGTGGTTTGCCACCCGAGGGGGATGTCTGCACCACTTTCAGCGTTCACAGGCACTAAAGTCTGCCTGCCCTGTTATCGCAGCTCTGGAGCTTGGCAGCGTGTGTTTGTTTGACCGTTCCCGGGGGCCGGAGATCCCCCGCATCGGAGCAGGCCGATGGATCGCACCTGGGTCTGTGGATCCTCCAATTCAGCGAAACGCCACCCGTTGCCGCCAGACCTCGCATGGAGACAGCAGTGATTTGGACGATTTCCAGAACTATCAGAGGCCAGCAGTTGGAAGAGATGTTGGGTGGCAGAATGTATGCTCCTAGGGTGACTTCACCATATTCTCAGAAGATGGTTGGACCCTCCAATCCCACCCCAAACATCTTCGAAACGGAGGTAGGCCAGGAGCCCTTTTGGGTGTATTCTCATCAAAGCATTTTGGCCACGCGGGAGTTGTGGCATGATTCGATGGTCCATTTCAGACCAAACTCGGTTGTGACAGGATCTGATTCCTCGGATCCTTCTCTTACGAATCTGGTTACACCCACGCCAACACCAAGCTTTCGTTCCAATCCCCATCTTTGGCAGAAGAGACGCTCCACCCGAAATGCAACACACCAGGAACCCACAGTTCTCACCTGCAGGAGTCAAAAATGCATTCAGAGGAGGGAGGGATCGGAAAGAGACCTTGCAACTTCCATTGAATGCTTTGCAGAACCGTCATATCATGGTTCTTTCTCAGAGGTTGGTGAACGTGTTGCATTGAAACAGCCGTTTCGAGCCGTTTCAAGTAATAAATCTTCAACAAGTCGAAGCAAACGGTCGACTTATATGAATATAACTTGTGGAAAACGGGCGTGTTTGTTCCTTTGTGCAGTCCACGCGTGTTGGCCGCATGATGCTAGTGTCACTCCGGGCATCGCGAGCGAGTCGTAACAAGAAGCTAGTAGTAACGGGCAGGGGCATCGCGGCCTCGCGGCGGCCTCGGCCAGCGGCCAGCGCAGGTTCCGACTGAAGGTGGTGTCGATGTTCGGATCCATGGCGCCCCTTGTCACGGACCGCCGTGGACGCACCCACATGGACGAAGGGGTGGAAGGGGTGGAAGGGGTGAGCGACTTCGACCCTCCTTGGATGGTCGATTTCGCTGGATGAAGCGCTTGTATAGTGCATCCCGAGGAGCACGTGCTTGATTGAAGAAGAACCAGTGTCACGTTTTTCGAACACAGGTGCTTATCACCTCTTCTTGTGATAGAGGTGAACAGAGAGCAACAACATGTGCTGATGTTTCAAGAAGCTTCATAGATGGTTTCAGAACCGACTAGCTGGGGCCCAACAGTGCTGAACCTAACAGTACTGAACCGGGAAGCTGATATCACCATGCTGTGGCATGCTCTGTGTCATGAGACATATCAGACATCTCAAAGAAGAGTAGCTGAGTAGTTACCATCCAGACTGTGCCGCTGCTCCCGTCGGTCCGCCGCCTCGCGGACCCCGAGGTCTGGGCTGTTCGAATTTGGTGCGGACCCCGAGACTGGAAGGACCCCCGAGAGTCGCACACAGAAGACACACACACAGAAGACCCAGCAAGCAAGTCGTCCGTTTTGAAGCCAATGGCCATCAATTGTTGTGTTTGTCTTCTCCCAGCTCTGCAAATTCTGAAGTCGCTTCTGCACCGAAGCTGGACGCTTTGCCAGAGGATCTCACAGAAGGACTTTGTGCGTGTCTGTGTGAAGCTCGAGATGATGAACGAGCGGGAGGCGGCTCTTCCACCGCTGGGGTGGAGGTGAGCGACGGCGAGCTTCCCTGGCCGTGGCCGTGGCGAGAGCTTTGGAGCCATGGGACGCCCAGATTTATGTAGAATGTGGATGAATCAAACCCCCCCTCCCATATCCAGGTGTTCCATGTCAGAATGGAGCTTCCATGTCGCCATCCAGGGGCGGATGTGATGTTTGATCTGGTGCACCCGCTATTCTCCTTCCTCCAGTCGTTCGGCAGCATGCCGACATGGAACTGGTATGAAGAGGTTATATTCATCCAAATGGGTTTAGGGTTTTACATGGTTTTACTTCATCAAGTCTTAAGAGCCTACATCTACTTGTGAGCCCTCCCCGGACCGCGGATCACCTCTGAAGCAAGAACTTGTCAACCGGTGAACGAGATCCCTCAAGGGGTGATCCCTGCCGCCAAGGAGGGGCTTTTGGAGTCCCATCAAGTCCGAAGCATTTTTGGAACGAAATATATATATATATACACTCCCTGAGATCATCCTGGTTACGTGGAGGTGGAGGGAATACCACCTGTTGGGAATACCACCTGTGGGGTCTTTGGATTGAATGTTGGTGAGTCAGAGTGGAGCTGCATCCTAGAACGAATGCAGCTCTTCAAAGGCCTTGGATTGGATGGGTTTTGGACCCACATCTGCGAGCTGACCCATGATGCTTGTAAATGGGACAAACATGATAAAACACCAACCAGAAGAGCAAACTGAAACAGTTTGAATCTGCAAAAGCCCTGGGTGAACCAAACACCTCCTCCGAAAACCCTCGTTCGATCTCAGTCGCATCTGCCCAAGAACTCCGGAGCCGGATCGGCACACCTCCAGATCTCCCGCTTCTTGGCACATCCTCCCAGGCGCAGAGCCTCTACCAACACTTCACCAATGCTGATCCCTGGGACGAGGACACTTTCCGGCCTCCACGGGGACCCAACCGCGTGTGGACGCTTGGTGTCGTGTCGCTTCAAGACATATGGGACCCAACGGGGTGGGACCCAACGGGGCCGGACCCGGCCGGAAGCTAGAGTCAGTGGCGCCAGGCTGCTGGGTGACATCTTGGTGGGTCCCAGTAGGAAGCCGTGGTCAAAAGGATTATGATGTTTTTCAGGCCTGCAACCTAGGTTGCAAGCAGCAATCGCAGTGGTTGATCATCCGCTGCGCTCTGGTGGGATATGCGCCCAAATCCAGTCAAATTTGAATTTTGGTTTTGGATGAATTTTGATGCATTTTGACAATCTTTTTCGGCAGTGACTGAGGAATCTATTGTTGAATCCAGGATTTCAGGATGATTGACATGATTCGGAAATTCATGGCTGTCTGTTTCGGCACGACGTCTTGGCCATCTTGGCCAGGAGGAAGTGGTGGCCACGTGGGGGGCTTGGGAGCGACCGCCAACTTGACCGAGCCGCGGGGGCGGACACCCCGGAGACGAAATCACTCGAGCCACAAGTTGAGGTCTGCTTGGTTCGGGTGAGTGATGGTTCCTGCAGCGGGTTCCCAGAGGTTCCCACTGACTTAGAATAGAGGCCTCAGAAGCTACCTCATGTGCAACTGCTGGTATTGGTCTTTTTGGAGACTTTCATGGCCATCCTGATTTAGAAGCCATATGCTGTCGGGAAGTGTTCCTTCTTTAACCAGCAATCATGTGTTCATCCTTTCTTTGCCAGGCTTAGCCCCATCACTCAAGAGGAAGGAGTCAACTTCGAACAAGCTCCGCCTCTTTTTTTCTGGCTCAACATGAGAATATCTTGAGAATCTAGAATCTCCTGTCCGTTTTCCATGAGTTTTGCACGCAAAGTAACCCCCTCCGAGGTTCAAGGACTTCAGTATCGACGAGGACGAGTGGAGATATGTGGTGGCAAGCAAGCAAGAGGCGACTTCTTGGCCGGTTGTTGGGGGGGGAAGCACCGCCCTGAAGTGTTGATGGATCCCGAAGCTGCAGGGAGTGAGGAACAGCTGCATACTTTTAGACCGAGGAGTGAGTGTCTTGGATCCATTCACATTTGGAAGGTGGGGAGATCCTTCACTGTCAAGAGTGATGTAAACTCTTGATAGAATAAAAACCTCCCATGAAGAGATTAAACAAAATCCAAAAGATGGGCGGTTGTATTCATCAAGAGTCTACTTCAATACATGTGCAAGATGGTCCCGTCTTCAGAAACACTGTGACCACCAGTCCTTCTTCTGCCCCCGTCCAACGGTGGAGCCTTGTTGATCAGTCCGCCCACGTGCACAAGGGGCTTTTTAGGCGGGCCCCCTACAACTTCAAACGATTTTTGTTTGTGGGCAGAATGTCCGATCTTGCCGGGGCCCCGTGTAACTTCAAGCTCTACTTTCCGGCTGTCGTGTGAGGGATCTGTTCTTTGGTCGTCGTTCATTTGAGGATCAGATACCCATCCAAACGTCCAATGTCCAGAGAACCGGCTGGCAACAGTGAACAGCTCCCCTCCAAAAGAAGCACGTGAACATGTAAGAAGCCCAACCTCCACGAGACGTCCGAAGTTCGGCCCCTTCTTTGGGATCCACCGCCGTACTTCCTGAGTGCTGTGACGATTCGCTCGCAGGGTGGCCAAGCATGGATCCACCTCCTAACTTAGTTTTGGTACTGAGGATGTATATAATCCATTTCCCCAAATTCGGTACTTGTTTCGGACTGGTGTGCCATTCATCAGATTTCCCCTCTTTTTCTGCGCCTCCAAGAAGAGTTTTTCGTGCTTGTTCCATCCTATTTCGGCCCGCAGAGGGACTCCTGGCGCTTCGTCTCCTCTCCCCGAGCCAGGGGCGCGCCCTGGTCGGTCTCGATGCCCCGGTCGGGCTCGCACGTAGGCACAGATGAGCAACTCCACCGCGATCCCCTTCTCTTCCGCACCCTCAGGCGCAAACAAAAAGGACAAACGTTTTCGGTTGGATGAGGTGTTGGGTGTGTTTTTGGTGTTTGGTACTTTTGGAGGTGTTTTTTCGCTGGGGAGGCAGGTGTCTTTTGTGCTCGCAAGAACCGCCAGCGATTTCGGGCCCGATTTCGGGCTGAAGTGATGAGATCCTTCACGGGATGTCTGATGTGAAAAAATGTATGAAATACGCAGTGTTTACCTGGGATGAAATACTCTATTTGAAAGAAAAGACGCGGACCAGTGGAGCTGAGTGATTTCTCATTTTTACATTTGTTCAATGAAAAGAGGTAATTGTCGGGTGACACCAAGAAAAAAGGGGGCGAGACAGGTTTGTTTCCAAAATCTGGCCCATGCGAACCCCCAGGAAATGATGAACGTGAATCAGGGGTTTGTGTTACTTGAAGAAACGCAAGAAGGATCCGAAGCTGATTTTTTTGGTTTATTCCGATCGATTTGATTCTTTGTCCAATCCTGTGGAGTAGGTAACAGTCAGCGAAAACGCTGCACTCCAGCGGTTGACCAGTTGATTTAACCAAGTGGTTGATGCAAGACAATCACATCGGTTGGGGACCTTTGCTCGAAGCAAATTATTTACCACGGTTTTCAGGTGGACACCTTTTTTTAGGCACATGGTCTTCTTCGGGCTTCTTGCGCAGCCCTTGCAAACTTGTTTCCTTTTTCCATTTGGCTCATACCGAACAAGTCCAGGTACCAGTCTCGTCTCCTCTGCCAGCTCGCCTACTAGGCATCAGCACTGGCTTGTACCATCGCCCTGTGAACGTGACCTGGCTCAAAAAAAAACACCCAGGTCGCGTGAAGATGGACACATGGCCCACACTGCAGAAGGTGGACACAGTGGGCGGGGTAGGTGGTAAGTGGTGGGTCAGGTGAGGTCGCACGAACCTGCGAACCACACGAACGAGATGTGATGATGGGAGCATTGGACGATGCAACTGTTTCATACTTCGGGGGATGAAGAAAACACATTTGTTGGCAATTCACCTTCACTTGGTTTTCCCGGAACCTCAGAAGTGGTACTTCGTTTCTCAGGCCATGTCCAGTGAGCAGAGGCGATGAATCGACCGACCGCGACCCCAAGCGACCGACCGCGACCGACCCAGTAGGCCTGCTAGACCTGCTGGAGGTTCGTTCGTGCCATGCGCCCAACATGTGAACGGACGGTGAAAGAAAGTGAACGGCGGTGATACCCGGACCCTCCGTCACAGCTGCTTCCTGGTTTTTCGGTGCCCCAAAAAACCCACCTGTGGTCGGGTCGACCCAAACAGCCTGTTACTGTTGGAGGGTCCTGGTAGGAAGGAGCTTCGTTCTTTTCTGAGCCGGACTTTGGAGGAAGCCACGCCGCGTTCCTGGAGCGACCTGTTTGGTGTGGCTGAGCCGGCCAATGGGTTGTTTGAGATGCGACCGCCCATCGACACAGACCGTCTCCTTTGTTCCTTCGACCCATTTTTGCCACCCAGAACGTCTCTCATCTTCCGAGATCAGGTGAACCAGGTCAGTGAGCAGCAGCGGGATGTCCCACAGGCAGGGGCGATGGTTCCGCCGTGCGGAGCGGCAAAACATGACCTGAGGTTCCCTGCAAATCGGAGGTTGGCAAAACGCCCAAAAAAGAAGCCACCAGAGGTTCCCTACCAATTCACATCCCTGGCGGATGCTTTATTCTGGAAGACGTGGTTTTCCATCAGCTTCATTTCGGCCAGACATGGACTGGCTCTTGTGGTTCCAAGAACGGCCGGACGGCCCAAAAGAGGAGACATTCCTATTAGTTCGTCCTCCCCTCCACTGAGTGGGGGTTGGAAACCTTTTGATTCCACTGACGAATGTATTTGTGAGTTGAACCACCAACCAGATCAAGTTTCGCAACAGAAAGACCACCTGGCCAGGAAGGAACGCCTCGAAGTCAAGGTCCGGAAGCCTAGTGGCCCCGTGTTCTCCTCCCTCATGCACAATATGGTTCGGACTCCAGAGGGAGGAGGAACGACGCGGAACCAGTATTTCGATGTGACCCTAGTTCATCCAATACTGTCAAGAACACATCCAACATCATCCAACACTCCACCACTCCTCAGGCTCGCCGTCCGGTGGTCTCGGCTGAGATCCAAGCGCACCGACGCACCCGAGATCCACCGATCCACCGATCCGTGGCGAAGCGGTGAACGGACCGGTAGAGCGGTGAACGGAACGGGTTTGGAGGGGGGCGAAGCATAGGGCGGTGGTGGGAGAGGTGTAGCTGAAGCAGCAAGCGTGCCACATGCTCAAAAAGGCACGGGTTGTGCCGAGTTTCGGCATTGGAGCAGCTTCCAATGGGATGGGACACATGAGAACCTTGGTGTCGACTTTTAAATCGTTGTGTATCACCCCCAGGGTTGAAGGAAACCAACGGATGGAATGCTACGACTCCCGTTCCTTCGATAGTGTTTGGGTTCTTCGCATGTGGCTGATTTTTGGGGGCACTCGATGAACCAGCACAGATCGAGTTCTGAGTCGGATCCACATGTTTTGGATCGAGCGATGCGAGGTCGGCGGCCCGGTCTCGGTTGTTAGATCGAAAACCAGTAGAGCCGTTGGTCAAGGATGACCACTCTTTTTGAGATTCACCAGGCCTGCAACCGAAGTAAGAAGTAACCTTCATCCACTGGGGCCGGTCATGGGATATACCCAAGGTCTCTCGGTGCTTTGTTCGATGGGATGCAGGAAGCTCTTCGCTGGTGGCACTGGAATCGGACCCAGCGATTGCTTCCTTTCGATCACTTTTAAGGGCTTTGTGTGCCTCAACGGAGAACATCAGAACTCAAACGAAGAACACCGGAAGAGGCGGGGCCCTTCGAATGGCTTGGGAAGGACAGCACGAGGATTCTCGGTTGCCGCAGGATTCTCGGATTCTCGGTTGCCCTGTGGTTGGACCGTTTCTGCTCACAGAGCCAGGCGGTGCAAGCTCTGCATCCCAAGGTCCTGAACTGCAAGAACTCTAAGCCCTACTGAAGCTCCACTGAAGCCGGGTTTTTGTACGGTTTTGGTGGATCCAAGACTGAAGATCGGTTTAGCACGTTGTGGTGCCTTGAACAGCAAAGATGGGCTGAAGACTCAAGTTTGGTGAGTCGCTGCAGGGAATACATCCACCAAAAGTCACGCTGAACAGAATCAGCCTGTAGAAAAAGGATCTTCTACTACTATAAGATGTAGTTTCAGGATTTGGCAGACTTGCGACAAGAGGCAGATGCAGTGGGCTACTTTGGTTTACAAAGAATGCCTGCTTGTACGCCCTTTGGCATGTTCACCTACCAGGCTTTGGAGGATGTTCACCTACTGTACCAAAAAAACCTCAAGTGTGTACTGTTGTTCCATCTTCGTTCTTGGTCTCACCATGGCAACACAAGTTCATCGCATCAGCATGTCGACACATGGCGGACCATGGCAAGCGAGCTGGCGGCCGATAGCTGGCTGGATGTGGGTCGGACTGAGCGGCCACCGCTGCGCACTTGGCTGTCCACCACTGCGTGGCAAGCGAGAGCTTGGTGACTGAGCTGGGAGAAGCTGCGGAGCTGGGGTGGGTAGAGCAGATCGGAGTTTTCGAACGAACGAAGACGTGGCAGGGATTTTTGGAGGACGTGTTGGAAACAAGAAGCTATGTTCGGGGCTGGCATCGCTACTAGGAGCAAGGATGCTACTAGGGGCTGCTGGCATCGCTACTAGGAGGAGCAAGGAAGCTACTAGGCAGCTTTTTCCTTTTTTCTTTAAAGGGGAGCTGTCCATGGGAGTCCATATGTTTGTCGGAGGTCCGAAAACCTCCGCATTAGACCCCTTAGTACGGCCAGGTAGAGTGATAGGACTGATGCTGGCAAGTAGGCATTCAAGATTGGAACATGGTAGAGAAGTACTAAGACCTCTCGAGCCAAACCACAAGGAGACAGCAGCACTGTTCTTCTATTTTTTTTTGACATGTGCCAATGGCAAACTGCTTTGGAGAGCGCAGAAAGAGTCATCAGCCAGCTCCAATTTTTAGTATTTGTGTGTGAAAAAGAACCAGGTACCTGGGTTACCTTGGCCTTCAATCAATTTCATTACTTTCGTATGTCGTGTCGGGTGTCCCAGCGTTTACCCCCCGCTCTGAACGTTCGGTGCTGGTCATGTAGACTCTTGATATTTCATGATATTTCAACCTTTCAAGCCTGAAGAGCTTTGACATATTATCCATGTTTGGCGTGGTTTTATGACTCAAGAGTCTACACATGAAGTACATGTTAATATATATATATATTCTAGCTGCACTATATGATATGTATATATATATACACATACACACTGACTACACATACTTTATAGCTATTCTAACTGTTTGTCTCTTAGTGTATAGTCTTATTTTGGACCGGCCGCCAGGTGGAAAGAGACTACCGATGTGGTGATCCTCAATAGCCCTTGGCTTCGCCGCACTACAGGGCGCAGCTTTCGTTGTGGGTGGATTTTAGTGATTGTCTTGGCTCGGGTGTATATATGGTATGCAAACTGGCACCCACCACAGGAGATTGCAAACAAACTGTTAATACTACCTAATTCGGTGTGTTTCGCCGGCTCTGTAGTGTGCTTGGCAGCAAGCCTCTGGTTGTCCATCAACAGCAGCCGCGAGAGTTTGGGGGGAATGTTGTCCTTCGCCCTTGGCACGTGGTGGAGCTTTGTGTTACTGGATGACTACATTGAGATCGGTCGAGAGCATGTTCTTTCATTCAGCTTGGTGGTCTTGTGTCACTGCAATATACACCCAGTCGTACTGGTCCTTCTCCTGCTGAGCAGTTGCGACTATGTTCACGCTTTGCAGGCTTCAGCATTTGTTCTAGTCACAGAAGTCAACGCCATCGCTTTTTCCTTCTTCATCATCACCGCCTTCACGATCGACTTCACCCGGCGCGTGCACGCGGTCACGTCGGGCGTTCTCTTCGGTGAGACGGCGGAGCCGCTGCAGAGTCCGGTCGCGGGGCGCTCGGCACGGAGCTGGTGCTGGCTTCCTTGCCTGGGCAACTGGCTGGCCTGGGTCTGCTGGCAGATCCTGAAGAGGCAGCATGAAGGAACTTCATATGCTCCTTCCATTTATCGCAATCGTTTACCCATTTGCACGGTGCTGGGCCCTGTAGTAGCATTGGCATTTCTTCTCTTAGCAATGACGCAGAAAGCCACCAGTTGGTGGGCTGATTTGGGTCTCGCTGCGTGCTGCACTTGGCCCCCTTGCTTGCTACTGCTTGACATGAGCCTCGTGCACAAGACCGTTTGGACCCCTCCGATCTTTCCGGCTGCCATCCAGTATGAGCAGACACTGGGAGGGATGGCTACATCGCAATCGATGATGGCGATACAGACCTTGATCCAAGCTGGTTGTCGACCAGAGGTGTGTGCCTTAAGCTGTTCAGTCTTCGGCTTGTTATCGCTGCAACCACACGTCGGACCCGTGCACAAGTACACGCACCTCTGGTTCCTGAATTGGCTTCTTGTTGTGTCTCACGGTATCGATTACTGGAGGCGCTTACGTGCCATTGAGGAAGGTCTGCGGCTCAGCTGGGACAATGCCTCCTCCGCACGACTCGCGGGAGACCAGGCGCGGCAAGGCAGAGGAAGGAGGACCAAGGCAACCGGTCGTAAACAAGATTTGAGGGCCAGACACATCGGCCGACACGGTACGAAGAAACATGAAGAAACCCAAAGCGTTTCGTGCCACCGAGCACTTGCTTGCTCGCTCCGTCTGACCGACCGGACCCAGGAGTTCTAGAAAACAAACCATCCGTTCTGTGTCTTCTTCCGCAGTTGGCGCCCTGGCGCCGCCGTGTGAAAGTCGTGTCCATCCGTGTGCTGCGCATCACCCTGCAGGTTCAGTTGGAGTTGCCCACCTGTGCCCCGACCTGTCGCAGTCCGACCCTCACCCGGCTGGCGCGACCGTCCGAGTCCAGCGGTCCCGCGGTGGTGCTGGGCGTGCTGCGGCATGGGGAGCGAGCGGATGAGAGCAGCAGCTTCAATGAGTTGGGAGACCCAGCCGTCGCACCTGGAAGTGGGTAGATTTCGATGTTGGGATGTCGTGGGATGTCTTGGGATGTCTTGGGATGTCGTTTGCAAGGCTTTATCAAGAAGGAAGGACGCTAGAAAGACGGGCCATCCGAGGATTTCCCTTCGCTGGGACGCCTCCGTTCTTGGGACCCCGGGAGCCGGGTGAAATGGGCTCGGCGATGCATGTGAGTGGGTTCTGAAGCCGACGGTGCTGTCGTGGACCTTGGGACCGAAGCAAACAACAAAGAGAAGCAAACCGAATAAGCCACCTAAGAGCGTTCCGATCGCCGGGCATCGTGTCGCGATGCCTGGAACAGTTCCGATGCGTCGGGTTTTAAGGCCAGGAGCCCTGGAACTCGTACCGTCCGATCGCTCCTAATAGCGATGGCCTCCCTAAGAGCAATGGCCTACCACCTAAGAGCGATGGCCTCCAACCAGGTTGAAAAGAAGATGGAAGAAGTAGGATGTTTCCCTCTGGTGGAGATGCATCCCAAAGACGGAAGGTGAAAGCAGTTGATTTTTGCAAGGTTTCGACCTATGGTACTTGTACTTACCTGGAGTCGACTCATGAAAGTACCTCAGAAAAAGGGTACAGATCTACCTCTTTTTGTAGGGTTGTGGCCCATTTTCTGTGGTTACTTAAAGTCGGGTCCAGGTATGCATCTATGGGACGGTTTCTTTTTTGCATGGTCGTGCCAGAATCCTTTTTTGGTTTCACTTGCTTGGCATCCACGTGTGTTGGTGTTTTGCGGCACCTGCAGCCCCCCCTCGATCAATCGGCATCTGAGAGAGAGACTTTGGACGAACTCGCTGGTCGGCCGGATTCACATGGAAATTGGGACAAAGAGGAGGGAATCCTTTTTCATGGGCAAAATCGAATTGGGAGAACTTTCAGAAAAGAATCCCAGCAAAGAACCAGCATTTCTTTCATCCATTTTTCATGGGCAATCCAAATCCCACGGATTCTACAACAGCTTCTTCAGGTGGGGCTGCTCGGCCGACGCGGCCAGCTATCCGCACGACTGTCCCCTCACGTCCCGGGGGTGCTGGCAGATTCAGCAGCTGGCACAGGAGCCTTCACTCCGCACGGAGCGCGAATCAGAGGGAGAGCAGTGAATCAGAGGATGGTAGAAGAAGCACTGGTGTGGGGCAGTGTATCCCAAGAAACGCACCGATTCTGAGCAAAGCTGACAAACAAAAACAAAGTCGTGTTGGAATTTTGGCGGATCGTCGTCGAGTCGCTTCCTTGGATGGAACACGCTTCTTCCGTCACCACACGTGTGTTTTGCGATGGTGCAGGAATTCGCGCAGCTGGAGATTAAAGTGGTGATCAGCTCGCCCTTCCTCCGATGCGTACAGACAGCCCTGATCGTGGCCGAAGAATGCCAAGCGGAGGCAGAATGTATATATATATATATACACATATATACCAGGACCTTCCAAGAGGTGTACACCTCTTTTTTCAGCTTGCCTCAGGACCTGCTTTCAACACCTCTTTCCAAAGCTGGTCCAAGCGACCCTAGTCCACGGTGGTGAAGGGAGTCTTCCAAGCTTCGAGAACATCCCCGTAGATCATCCTCGGACGAAGATCGATTGCTTCCCCCTTCCCATCGGTCATCTTGCGGTCATAAGGCCTGCTTGAGAAGAAAAGCGCCAGGCACCAGGGTTCCGTCAAAGCACCCAAGCTGAGAAGAGGTTGCACAGCTGTTTCCGAATTTCCGGCAGGACAAACATCACCCCTGCATCGGGTTGGCGGTTCAAACCGACTCTTTTCTCAGCACATAATACTGAGGTTACTGAATATAACAGTAGGAAATCAACACTTGTCTTGCGAATGTTCTGGAAGGCTCCCCATGTTTATTGCCAAAAAACACCGGCAGCATTGTCTTCCACATTCAAAAGTCCATGCAAGTGGGACTTGCAGGTGAGAGGCCTTTGAATAACCTCAGGGTCCGGGAACAAGTGATCGAGTGACTCAAATTGCAGGAGTTGAGCTTTTGTACACCATTCAGCATCCTCCGCCACGATCCACTGGCAACTATGATTTACATTGATTTACTATCATCGATCCTTTCGTAAGATGTCTTTTTTCACTTAGCTTCCCTTTTCGTCCTTTTTCTTCAAAAAGACACCCACTCCTAACAGCCACTGGTCCGATCCTATTTTCGCCTCTCGCGTCCAGGCGGTCTTGCTGGATGAGGAGTTGGGAGAGGTCTTTGGCCCAGCAGTCTTCGAATCGGAAGTCCCCTGGCCGCCACGCGACTGGACGGTGCTTCTGAAGACCTTGGAGGCCATGGGCTGCCGGTGCGATCGCTTGAGCCTTGAAGAACGAGGGTCTGGGTGACTGGGTCCCAAGATTAGAGAGACGAAGATGATCTCTTGGTGACTGTAAAACAGGCCTGAAGAGGTAGAACACCATCCATGTCTGGAGGGAGTTTGATGAATCAACAGTCTACACTCTCAGTATGTCATAACCCCCCGCAGACATGGAGGAAGAAAAACCGCTTCAAACATCGGGGGATGGAGGCATGAAATCTCACCTGCGTGCACCAACCCTGTGCCTGAACCCGAACCCGTCGCGCGCCGTCACGCGCCGCAGCGAGGAAGTTGGGACGAATTCTGGGCCGGCGTCCTCAATGGCCTGAGACCATCCAGGCGGCACGCGTGAGGTATGCCAAGCGGTTTCTGGACTACATGAGGCGATTTCCGGATGAGAGAGAGAGAGAGAGAGAGTCTGGTTCTCCGCTGCAATAAGAGGAACTTGATCAAGAATTCCTTGACCGCTTGGTGGACAACTGCCTACCAATGGAGCTATGCAGGAGCCTCTATGTGCGCTAGAAAACATGCCACCAACGAATGCCTAACGAATTCATGCCCAACCCCTGACCGACCTGCGCCCCTGACCTGCGCCCCTGACTCAGGCGCTGTCGGCACACCAGAAGGAATTGCATCTTGGTCTCGCATGGTCATATGCTGCCAGTGTGTGTCTCGATTCTACCCGAGCTACAGGACCGCAAGGTGCGCGCACCGCGGAGCGCGGAAAGCGCGCGAACCGAGGAGAGGAAGCGGCTGGGAGATCTGCATGAGGATCTCATGAGATCGAAAAGTCAATTCCGAGTTCATTTCTCCAAGTGGAAGACAACCCCAAAGAAGTCACCCAGTCATCTGAGTCTGAAAATAGCTCGTCCCCCAACTCTGTTTCTTTATTTCTTTACTCGGAATGACTTCGGAAAAAACTTCTTCAAGATAGGTCTCAGACTATTTCGCCGCCCCCGTCCCCAGTCAGAAACCCGTTGTTTTTGTCAGCCTGGCGGTTTTTCTTTTCGTCAGCTCAGCGGTTTTGGTGAGGTGGCCAGTGTGGAGTATGGAGCAGCTTTAGTGGCCACCTGGCAAGCTTCCAAGACTTCGACTTCGAAGACTTCCAAGACCAAGGAGGAGACCTTGCTGAAAAGGGTGATTGTTGAGGAGTTTTGACAGAAAAGCACGACACAATCCCGGGTTGTGGGGACCTCTTCTCGGCTCAGAACCCCCTGCAGTTCCACGTCAGGAGACCAAGACCTGGCTTCGGAGTCGCTCCTTCGATGGCGTCACACCACGAGGACCTGGTCTCGCTCAGGCCGAAGGACCGGCGCCCGAAGGAGCGACGGAGCCTCCTTCGCCGCCGCGGCGCGGACGGAGCGCGACGCGTTGGGCCGAAGGAGCGGAGGTGCAGGATGAGCTGGAAGAAAAGAACGAACTGCTCTTGAGCCTGAACTACACATGGTCTGTTTGGTGGCAAGGTCTTCGCTTCATGAAGGACGACAGCTTGAGCGGAGGGGGAGTTCAGCAACTGCATGCAAAAAGGAAGCATTTGGGACAGAGTTGGCAGGATGTGTTGAGGCTCCTGGGAAGTTTGCCTTCTCTTGCGGAGTTTCTTGGCATCTCATGCTCTCAAATCTTCTGTAAGGTCTTTGTACCCACGTGTTGTGAGTCCATTTGTATGAGAAGAGTCTCCTGCTTGAGTATCGGGATGTGGGGCTGTGCTCGAGGCTGTCATGGTCTATAAATTCCAGGACCCTCCGTTGGGGGTGTGTCGGTGTCTGTCAATAGCCTCTTTTTCAGACGATTCCGGGGTCTCCCAAAACCACCAGGCGAATGGGGCCGGTCCTGGTTGGTTCGTATACTTGGTGGTGCTGTCAAGCTTTTTGTCTTGGAGATGATTTTATCACACATCCCTGCTGGGGCGAAGAACCTGGGCTGTAGTTTGATCTTCAAACATACCACTAGAGAAGGCCCCAAACCTAGTGGTTTTAGCTCTTTTTTCAGTGAATGTCGTTAATTCCATGTAGTTCCATTGCGTGTTTCAAAAAAGGATCGCCTGTTCGCTCCAATACGGGAACACCATTTTCATGCAACATGGTCTTTAACGATCCGCTATGGGTTTTCGGGTGGATGCGTGTTTCGCAAGACTTCAAGAGCTTGCGCGTTTTCACGAAGTGGTTTCCAAAAAGGACACGACTAATTTGGTCTCAAGTGTACGCGAGGCACATCATGTAACTGGAAAACATGTTGGAAAGCTTCTACAGCACCCTCTTCAAGGCACCTACCTAGGTGTGCTGGTCTTGTTTCGGCATGCCTTGCCATGTGCTTGACCGGTCTGCAATGGAACCCGTGATCAAACGCGTCGAACTTCCTCGTGCACACTTCCTCGTGAAATCATGTAAGAAAACCACTTCGTGCCGCATCCCGTGGCCCGAAGCTGCTATCGATCAAAAAGAAACCACACCAGAGAGACATCCGAACATCGATCATGCGTCAAAATGCATAGGTCCATAGGTTGGCCACTTTATACGTTATCAATCCTGCGTCAAAAATGCATCGGTTGGCCACTTGATAAGGTTATCAATCAATATCAACAAGTATCAGTTTGCCCAGCATGCCGCACTCCACATGTAAAACAGATCTCCAGCCCGACTCCAAGCACCGGATTCCAACGGACACTCGGCTCATCGGACGGACGGCACCAGAATACACGCCACAACCATGCCCATCAAAATATTCGACCCCCCCAGTGGAATTCCGATGTTCAAAAGGAGACACAACAAGGTGGTGCAGGCTGAGACACTGAAGTTGCTTCTCCGTGAATTCACAGACACCGCCATGGACAAATGCCGGTCATGTGCCTGCACGTTCGGTTTTCGCCCAGTAGGCAAAGAGCATGGAACCAATTTCAATCTATATATGATTACTGATTACTGTATTTAATATACTGCATACACACTTATATCCGTGTAGTATAGGGTCAACACTATCATTGTCTCTTGAGCCCACTTTGACCCGATATGATTCTGGCCTACCACTCCGGCAAAGTGCCACACACCTTGATGCCAGAGCTTGATCAGCTTAATGTTCCGCGACAAATCACGCTTCCTCGGCTTCCTCATGAGGTTCCCCTTCAGTGCTGCTCGCAGCGTGGCCTCGGAGCGCTCCAGCGGCAGCGAGGTGAGCTTCGCCAGCCGCGCGCACACGGCGTCGTCCCTGGCTGCCTTTCGGGAGCCCAGTCAATTGGCTCAGCTACCAGAGGCGGAGGCCAGAAAGTCCAAACAAAAGCTGACTGGTGCGACGACTGTAGGGTGGCTGAGGGTGGGGATCCAAACGAATCTCTAGACAGGGGCGCAACTTCCCTCATTCCCTACTTTCGTCGCACCAGTCAGAAACGGCCAACATCCCACATTCTCCGTGCCTCGAACGCTTGGTTCGCACTTTGTGAAGCTCAAGGCCTATGTCTATGTGCCACTACCACCACGCAGTCGTGCCGCCAGTAGCGGATCTGACGGCAGCCCTTTGTCCTCGGGCCTGAAGCTCAAGGCAAACAGCCTGGCGGCGCGACGGAAGTTCAGCAAGGAGAATCAAGGAGCCACAGGAGATCCTGGAGGGTTTGATCTTGAAGTGGGAAAGCAGGTGGAGTGCCTGTCACCAAAGGTGAGTTTTCCGCCCGCTTAGGGAAAAAGAGCGCGAAAAACAATAATCACAGGGGGAAGGGGTTGCCAAAAGAGAAGCACGGGTGTGATCCTGCTCCCAAGTGTTGTGACATTCACACATTATCGTTTTCAGTGTCCCTTCACTCAAGGAGGATCTTCTAAAAGGGCTGGGCCTGGGGTGTTTGGGGCCTTCCATTTTGGCTGCACCAATCTTGCCCCATCTGTCTACACCCTTTTTCATCTTTTCAGCATCGAAATCCCCATGATCGGGTCTCAGCCACGAAGCATCTTCGCCCGAGGACTTTGATCCAGAGGACTCTATCTTAGTGGCTCAATCTCCCTAATTCCTCACGAATCGCACCACCAGGCTTTTCTGAGGACATCTTGACATATCTTGTGTTGGAGGCCCTCGCTATTAGGTTGGAGACCATCGCTAGTAGAAACAAAGGAAAAAAGGAAGACCTGTCGCGCCGCTACTAGTAGCTTCTTGCTCCTATAGTAGGGATGGTCTCCAAGCTAATAGCAATGGCCTCCACCTAGTAGCTTCTAGCTACTAGTAGCTTCTTGTTACTATGTTTCAGTCGAAGTCCCTCCGGGTTTGGGTCCTGGCCACGTCGTGGGTCCGAAGCCGCCGAGTCACCCTTGGAATGGATGGTGAGTGAGGACTGCAACCATCCAGTTTTGGCGGATTCACACAACATGCAGTAGGTTTGTGTTCCACTGAGGTTCCCAACTGATCCCCAAGTGTACAAACAAACCGACCCAGACTCGCACCAAAGTGTGTTGGTACTAGGAGTGCCTGTGAGGGCAGTATCAGTTTCAGGGCCGTCTCACCATAGCTCAGCTGGACCCTGACGACTTGGGCAAAAGAAACACAGGCAACAAATCACCCTTGAACATCCTCTTGCACTTGCCATCAGCTGTTTTGAATTCAGGGCTGCTGAAAAAAAAGAGAACGAACATGAACAAACCAAACCCCAAACAAGAACCACTCCAAACAGCCCCAAGCAAACCCAAACACGTTTCCACTTGGCCACTGGCCAGCGGACCCTGCTTTTCACTGAGGCACACCACGGAGCCTGGCGTTCCGACGCACGCGCACGACGCGCACGGCGGGGAGTTCCTCCAAGAGGACGAGCGACGACGACGCGACGGGAGGGTGATGAGATGGGAAGACGGTCCAGTGAGTTTCTGTCTATTTATGTGTACGATTGATCTTTTTCCCCAAACAGTTTACTGTTAGGGGTTCTCAATTCTTAGAAAGACGTGTCCGCCCTTTGTGTCGCTGCTGGTGTCCGCCCTTTTCTGCTGGCCATGTCGCATTTCTATTCATTTGTCTCCCAGTTCTGTCGCTGCTGGTGTCCGCCCTTTTCCGCTGGCCATGTAGCATTTCTCTTCATTTGCAACATTTCTATTCATTTGTCTCCCAGGTCTGTTTTCCGCTGGCCATGTGCAACATTTCTATTCATTTGTCTCCCAGGTCTGTCACTGGTGGTGTCTGCTCTTTTCCGTATTCATTTGTCTCCCAGGTCTCTCACTGGTGGTGTCCGCCCTTTTCCGCTGGCCATGCAGCATTTCTATTCAT